ATCTTCTTATCAGAATTTCTACACTTTATATTTTTATTAACTGCGAATATAAAATGTGGCATGACATCTTTATTCATTATATCTGCTCATTATTACATGTTTGCACGATGTTTATTAGTTAGTTGTACTGTCTTAGGCCAAGGACTAGCTTCACGTTTATGTTCACATGCACCATTTACGTTCTCTTTGGATCCAGAGGTAGGTGTCAGCTTGTCCCTAGGTTTGCTGTTTAGACTCGTATGTGATGAACGCAGCGCCAGCTCTACATGATGTAGTACTAGAACGTAAAACCTACACCTAGTATGTTCATGCAGCTACTTTTTGTATGACTTGTGTGCCTACATAGATAATGAGCAGTGATTTTCATAGCAGTTTTGATGATTTTCATAGTTGTGATTTTATGACAGCTATTTGAGTTTTGATGATGAGATATTTTGTAATAGCACCCTATATCCTTCAACTCATTTATGTTGCAGGGATCCTTACTACCTATTATTATAGTATTACTTTGAGAAATCATACTTGTTTTACAGTGAGGGGTTGCACATTTTCAAAAAGGTTTCAAAAAACTTTATTTTATAAGCCCACTCACCCTTATTTTTCGCCCCTTCAAGATAGAGATTGAGCTCGTGGGAGTACGAGGTTTCAATGGAAGTAACTGATTGTTCTTCTATCAAAGTAGGTTGCTTATGTATTAAATAACCATCCTTTACGAATGAGACAACTTTTATCTTTCTGCACTATGCTCTGAACTTCAAGTTTTGTAATAAGGGTTATCACCCAATCACATTGTTGATGTGAAAATTAAGTTGACACACAAATTAAACCCTATTGATGACAATTGTAGTAATGATGCAAGTAGGGATCGTTCTAGACCGGGGATTAACTAGGGATGCTAATCAACACAAATAAGACTCAAAAACACTAAACTAGACTCTATAGACTCAAAACTAACTCAAAACACTCAAAACAGCAAATAACAACCAAAAAGACTCAATTCTAGACCTAACAAGTGATTTGGACGAAAATAGAACTTCAAAGACTCAAAAGACTTAAAAGAAACAAGTTTTGACTCTAAAAACAAGACTTAAAAGTAAGGGGGTTGGTTTTGACGAAATTGGACTTTAAAACATAAACTTTAAAAACAAACTTAATGAAAACGATTTTGGATGAAAAAGAATGGTGAAAGGCTAGTTAGAGGGTTCCTTCTCCACACATGAAACATATGCATACGACTCGATTTCCAGTTACTCTTTCAACAAACCATGAATGACAATGTCCCAAATTAACTAGATTGCACCAATTAATTCTCAGATTTCCCTAGATTCATTGAATTGAATGGAATACGCATTACAACCAAATTATTCTTATCAAGGACCCTAACTATGGAATACGCATGATAGAGACACATATCAAAGATCATTAAGTTCAATGGAAATCATAAACATTGACGAGACATTCATAACTATGGAATACGCATGTTACTCTTGCCAAGGATTTACTTAACACAATCGTGACTAGCGACTTTTACTACTTATGAATATAAGTTAATAACGATTAGGTGAAATTCCCTTATACTCTAGCATCAAATTCATGCATGCGAACTAAGTATGCATCCTTAATTAACATACATAAACATGTTATCAATCAAATAGATAAGTAAACAACATTCACGATTCATGAAATCATAACTGGAGGAAATCAAGTCATATAAAACATATGATCATGGCTTTGAATTCCCCTCTAACTATAAAGAAATTAGTTTCTCATGTTCGCAAATAAACAAAGATAAATAAATCTAAACATTGACATAAAGATAGAAAACACCTAGAAACGCTCCAACAATCCAAGCTCCTTGAATGGCATGCACGGCTCCAAGAGTCTCCTTCTTCCTCCTTTGCAAACTCACGGCACACAAGGGATGATTGGGTGAATGATGTAGTGAAAATCTGGTAGAGGATGGTGTCTAAATGGTGCGGCAAAGGGGTGTATTTATAGGTGAAAATCCAGCCCCTAGGTAGCAAAGGAAAAGGTTTTAAAGGCCTAAGTTGCATAGGAAAATAAAACACAATCCTTGAAGGAAAACAAATCAGAAATCCAAAGGGAATGAAGGGATAAGGTGCGGCACCAAACCAGGAAAGGATAAGGGCTTCTAGAAACCAAAATACCAAGGGATTTGGGTGAAACTCACGGCACAAAGTGGAGGGAAAGTGGCTGACTTGCAATTCAAGGCCAAGGTCTTCTAGAAAGGTTCTAGGTGCCATTTTTGTAGGAAAGGATTAGGTTTTCTAGAAATCTGATTTTAAGCATCCTAATCTAGCTAGGAATCCTCCCAAGTAGCTGAAATGTAGGTGGATTAGGATTAGGATAAGATAAGATAGGTTTGGATAGGATAGGGTTTGGATAATGTTTTGGATAAGGTTTCTTCACTTGAGCTGATTCTTTGGCTTTAACTTCCCTTCTTCAAGTAGGAAACCTTGTTTGAGTAGGAAACTTCAATCTTCTAGGAATCCAACTTCACTTAGGAATCATTCCTCAACTAGGAATCCATGTTTGACTAGGATTTCATCTTCAATTAAGCACTTTCCCACTTCAATTAGGAAACTTTGCATCTTCAAGTCTTCAACTTTGAAACACATTCCTAGCTCTTCAATCCTTCAAATTCGTCCATTCTTTGTGCACCACATGCATGAACTCCATTCTAGCTCAATTTTGCTCCAAAATGCTCCAAATTGCATCATTTTGCTTACTTTGTCCTTAAAACCTGAAAACACATGAAAATAGCTTAAAAGACTAACTTAACTAAGAAAACACAACATAAATGCATAAGAACTAACTAACTAAGGCGCATAAATATGCTCCTATCAGTTGTGCACTCTGACTTATTTATTTAAAGTTTAAATTTATCCTCACTTTTACACATCAACCTTACTTTATGACTTCGTCACCCTTCGGGTGTCGGCCAGCACATCACGATTCAGATGGACACGAGGACATTCAGGGTTGGGGTGTGTCAATAATAATCTAAAATTATTATAATTTAAGTATAAACAATTGTCGTATTAAATTACTAACTAATTAGCCCTTAACGCTGGTTAAAGTATTGCTTTATGAGTTTTTATATGGTCAATTTTCTAATGATGACCCAAAAAATTATGAATTTAGATTATAGCATAAACAACAATCGTCGTTATAAGATCAGTTCCACTCTTAAAAAAATGTGCCAGCATCCAACCCATTTAATCCACTAAGTGAACAGTGATAGATCCCGATGAATAGTAATAGGCCAAAGGCATCTCCACCTTAAAAAAATGCACTAGCACAAAGTCTAAAAATTGCACTGGCATAAACGATCTCCACCCTTACAAAATGCGTTGGCACCCAGCCCATTTAAAATATTTTTTATTTTTTATAAAAGAATAAATAAATAAAATAGTTTTAATTTTGGATAGGATTTTTAACCAATCTCGTCACGCCACATATCATTATATGAACATACTATTTTGTGAATAGATTTCCACTAAGATTTTCAACCAATCCCGACGAGCCACGTGTCACTATCTGGTTACAATAATTTAGCCAAGATTATGATAAGATTTTCGACCAATCTTATCACGCCACGTGTCATTATCCGAACGTACTATTTTGTGGATAGATTTCCGATAAGATTTTCAATCAATCCCGACGTGTCACGTATTACTTCCTGTTTACAATAATTTAGCCAAGATTTCGATAAGATTTTCAACCAATTACGTAGTAAAGGATGCATTGAGTTTTTTCCAATGACCTTGAAGACCTTGATTACTTTTGGCGTCTTTTCCATGTATATCACAAAACGCTTTTGTAATTTTACTCCACATTTCTCGCTTATCTATCTCATTACCTGTAATCGGGTCATGAGTAGTGTGAACTCAGCATTCATACAAAGTAAGATCTTCGATGAGCTTCTATGTAGTCATTTTTTTCTCTCAAAGTGTAGAAAATATTGAAATGTAGTGTAAGGTGGAAGACGAGGGTTAAGTATTTATAGAATTTTTTTTTTAACTTTTATGTACTTTTTAACAATTTTTCATAATTTTTAATTAATTTTTTTTATAAATTTTAGTTTAGTTAATTAATCTGGACCGTTAGATTTAAAAATATTCAAATCCAATAGCCTATAAGTTTACATGTGGCCAACGGTCATAATTTTGACTCTTGTGCCTTTGTTGGGGGGGGAGGGGAAATGTGGACCGTTGATCTGTGATCGGACAGTCTAAATTCAAATTCAAATTTTTTTTACCGTTGGAGAAAACTAGCAGTTGGAAATCCAACGTTCCAGGACCAGCCACGTGGCCTCCTTATCGATGCGTTGAGTGTGCCTGCACAAGTAGGCCCCGGCTCTAGATTCTTGTCAACGACTTGCACCCAGTCGCGCATGCTTCTCACGCGCCTGGCGCAAAAAAAAAATTCAAACGGCCTCTGACGACATGCTGGCTTCAGCATGGCGTCAGATGGGCCGATCAATAGGTTTGTCCATTCTGGACTAGCCTATGGCCTAGCTTGGGTTGGGTGCCCGCCTATTAGGCAGGGGTGAAGCAAGAATGAGGAGACCGATCCATTTTTTGGACTGGGTGCCGGGCTATCAAGCCCGCGTGGAAGTGCTCAAAATTACGGACTTGAATTCTCTGCCCTCCCAATTCGGTGCCCTCCCCGTGCCCTCCTGTTTGTGTGGTCACGGTTAAGCCACGTCAATATTTTATATTACTATTTTTTTTTGTCTTATTATTTTTATAAAAAACAATATAAAATGTTAGCATAGATTAACCGTGACCACATAAAACAGGAGGGCACGAGGAGGGCACCGAAATGAGAGGGCAGAGAATCCAAGTCGCAAAATTACTAACTGATTAGCTCTTAGCGCTGTTTAAAAGTACTGGCTTTTGACTTTTGTAGAGGTGATATGAGAGGCTGGGGCCCAGAGCGTTGGTTGTGGTTGGTCAGAGACTCGCAAAGAAAAAGGAACAAAGATTGCGTTTATAAGGAGTTCCGACTAGCTAGCCTCGGAAAGCGCGGACACACCTCCACGAGAAGCGGCGCCGAATCTCCTCCTACTTACGACACCACCATGACTCCTCCTCCTCCGCTCATTTCCTCTGTCAGTCTCGCTCTCTCTCTCTCTCTCTCTCTCTCTCTCTCTCTCTCTCTCTCTCAAATGCAAACACATTGATTTAGAACAGAAACGAAAAGCATGAGTTTTGTGGGAATACTTTGTTTTTTTATCATCTCCTGTCCAAATTTTGCCATTTTTTAAAAAGAAAATGGAGAAGAACAAGGAGAATAATGGGCTATCTGGTTTTATTTGCTGCTTTGTGGGAAGGCAAATGTGGTTATTGAGTTCATAATTTACCCTCTTTTAAACATTGAAACATGGTTGTTGTTACCTGCTTAACTTAATTGCAAAAGTATGCTGTCGGTTATAGGCTAGGATTTGAAAGAGAAGTAATTGGTTTTCGAAATGTCATTGATTCGTATACTTGTAATTAACTACTATGCTGATTTCAGTGCAACCAGTTCTTCATCTGTTATTCGAGCTCTGCACATTGTAGAGATTTTAAAGACGCACTACCCGATTTCTAAATTGTTTTGAGGGAAACTTTTCCTTGGAACCAGCTTTTGCTCATACACCTTAAGGATGATGAATTGTTAGATTATTTGATCATATTCTCTCAAATGAATATATATAACCATTTTTTTTTCCGAGGAGAGGTCCAATGTAAAACTATAACTCCGCACTTATCATTTCTGCATTCTACACATAATTTGAAATTTGGGTTTACATGTTCGTCTTAAATCGGGGAGTTTAACTTGGTTGAGGGATAGTTTACAAAAAAGAAAAACAAAAAAGGAACTACACAATTGGATCGGGGGTAGGTGACAACCGGCAAGGCTGTGTTACCGTGGCTTGTGTGAGATGTGGAAAGATATTTTTGTTTGACCCGTCGTTACGCAGCCTAATGTGTTCCGTGAGCATGTCACGTGATTTTATTTCTTTTAGTACCGTAACATAAAATTTATTGTGTTTTTCAGGGATGATGCTCCCTAATGAATGCCTATTCACACACTCACCTGAAGTGTGATCTTTTTGGTGTTTCACACGTCCATGACCGAAGTCATTGCTTGTTTAACAATAGAACATGGAGCGCAAGTCACGTGCCAGATATTATAGGCACAAGTCATCTCAATAGACGTGGTAAGTTTATTTCCAGGCAAACTGGATGTTCAGAATTTTTCATATTACGTATAATCTAAGATCAATGGTTTTGACAAGTTAAGCTGAAACGCTGTGATTTGGAGGTTCCTCAACTCAGATCATGTGTGATAATCCCAATCTATGGGTGAAATCTCGGAATTGGATACCCTCAGTTGTTTTGTTATCCGTTAAAAATTTACAACCTCATTGTTTGAAAAGTCCTATTTCTGCAGGATTGAAGAGACTTGAGTTGATCTTCTTTCCTGGCTTATTGTTTAGGTTATACATCCACAACCATATCATATCAAGTTATGGAACATATGCAAACCAATGTGGTTGCCAAAGAGTACTCAGATGACTTACCTATTACATCGTCATATGAATCTGCCATGGAAGCACTTTCCTCCCTGATTACATGTAAAAAGCGTGGAGATACATCATCCGTAGGTGGTAAATATGGGAAATTGGAAAGGATGTCGATATATCTCAAGGTAGCATACTGACACAATACATTTAGACCAGCATAGTCCGAGTAATTATAACATAAATTAGACTTACATGACTGGGAGTCTTGGTGGTATATCAGTAGCAGTAGCATCTTTGTAGTGACATATATTGCTCTTAAGTTTTTAATTTTGTGCTTATGGATTGAAATGCAGAATTCTTCGTTTCTTTACAGATATTAGGCTTGGAGGAAAAGATAGATGGACTCAGAATAATTCATGTAGCTGGAACGAAGGGCAAGGTGTTTTCATTTTAAACAATGATCCATATATTCTCGATAAATCAGACTAAAGCTTTTAGAAGCTTCTCAACGTCTAATTAATTAATTATGATATCAACCTAGTATTGTTAATGAGCCCAATGTCACTTGCTAATAAGGTCCTTCAAGAAGAACATGTTTTATTACTTGTCAGATGAGATATGAACAGCCGAGATGCATCAACCATGTCTGATCCAAAGATTGAAAAACATATTAATGAAGGCCTCACCAGATGGCATATTTGTATACTTCGAAATGCAGTATAATATGTCTAAGGTTATTGAAGGACACACAATAGCTCTCTCTCTTTCTCACTCTTTCTGTTGTTCTTTTGGGCTTTCACATTTAAGGGTTCAACATGCACGTTTTGTGAGGCTATTCTACGGGAGTGTGGTTTTCGAACGGGACTGTTCACTTCTCCTCACTTGATTGATGTGAGAGAAAGATTTCGGATCAATGGGTTAGTATTTTAACATCAACATTAACTGTATGGCTTAATTATTTATGGATACGTTAGACTTGGCCTTATCTCTCTCTCTCTCTCTCTCTCTCTCTCTCTCTCTCCATTGACTGTTAATAGAACTCGATGGCCAAAATTAACCTTAGGATTTGTCATGTTTTTACATTTGCACTTGTTTTATTGAATTGAATATGCTTGCCTGATTGAACATTGACTGTCAATGTAACTTTTGGGTTTGAGTATAATGCTAAATTGCATGTGTAGGTTGGACATAACTGAAGATAGGTTTCTGCCATATTTTTGGAGTTGTTGGAGTCAGCTGGAGGTATTCTTCCAAATTGTAAAAAGTTATTACTGAAATCTAATACCAAGCTTGGTTCATCAGCACCTCCATGAACAGATGATATAGTGGTTCCATAATGAACATAGATAGTGTTAATCACATAATATTCCTAATTGTTATTGTAAAGGAGTTTCTGTTCAATCTCATACGGTCATACCTCAGCGGGGTTCATCAGCACCACATGAATGGATGTCATCCATTTCAGTAGTGCTCTTGAACCTGCTGGTAGTCGGGTAATCACTTTGGATAGTACTGGTCATATACATCAAAACTCAAGATGTTTTGGGTTTTCTGATCACTTTTAATTTGAAGTACTGGTTTTGTTTGTTGGGTTTGACGTTCCCTGCATAACGTTTTCACTAGACTGAGAGCTTTGATATGTATTATATTTGTTCAAATTGGTGGAGAAAAATGTCCATGCATATGTGTTGGGACTTGTGATTTAATAGGTTGCATATGCATCAGATGGTCTTTCATTATTTTTTTATTGCTTGATAACATACTAAATACTTTATGAAAATAATGCTTTGTCTATAAAACCCCAACTTATAAATCCCAGTTTGTTGATTTTTGAAGCTTGAATTTGTAGGAAAAGGTTACAGAGGACCTGCCAATGCCTCCATTATTTCAGTTCCTCACTTTATTGGCTCTCAAAATATTTATCTGTGAACAGGTTAGTCATAGGCCCTTAATTCCACTGAAAGCATCCCATTTTGGAATTAGGCTGATTGCTGCAGCAAGTAGTTCCTTTTCCCCAGTTTTTGTGTTTTGGTTCCTCGCCTGTTTTTTCCCTTATATGTTGCATGTAGTTGTAATGAATCTCTATACTCAAAATATTGAAATCCAAAGCTCTAGACGGTGTTCATTTATGCCTGCTGGACGGTGTTTTTCTTCCTTTGGAATTGGCCGTTCCACCGTCATTGTAACCACCGATCTCCTATCATCCCTGCATTCCCTCAGTTCTTAAGCTCTTCAAGCAATGTACCCTATGTCTATATTTGGACTGTCCCTGTTCTGTATCAATTTTGTATTTGTGTGCTCTATGGTCAGCTTGATATGTACTGTCGCACTAATTCTTATTAGGATACTAGCTTAAGATCTTGGGTCGATGAACATAGTACTAAATCCTGCGACCTGATGTTTGAATCTTGGTAACCTTGTTTCCAGAATAAATTTTTTTCTAGTTGTGCTCATATAGTCCACATTTGATTACCAGTTGTTGTGCAGGCTTCCATGGGGGAGCTGTTTTTCTTCCCCTTAGCTTTATTTATTTTGTTATATCTATTTTTTCTTCCTGTTAAACCTTCGGAATCACTGGTAAATTAACAATCTGTTGCAATTAGTGGTAGCTAATAGTTCCTCTTTGACTTATTCGGTGCTATTTGATATTAAATCATAAATCATGAATTTTATATTTATTTTTGATACATCAATTTTTGTTTGTTCTCCTTTTCTGATTAATCGTGACTGAGAACTGTACTTTTTTTATAGGTTGATGTAGCTATTATTGAAGTCGGTCTTGGGGGAAAAAGAGATTCAACAAATGTGGTATGCTCTATGGAACTACAACTTTTTTGAAGTGGGTTCAAATTTCAAACTGTTTTGTTTTCTTTTGGAAGCCTAATTCACATTTTATAAATGAAACTTTAGCAATCTGTGTACTTTTTTGCTGAAAGAACTGTAAATATAAAAGTGGACAGATGGAAATACTTATTGCGGTAAATTGTGCAGATCAACAAACCTGTCGTTTGTGGGATAACTTCACTGGGGATGGACCACATAGAAGCATTGGGTGCGCCTTTTTGACTCAACAACTTAATTTTTTCAGATTTTGGTTTCTGATAGTTATAGTTATATGATATCCATTTCTGACAACCACTTATCAGCCATTAGGTTTTCTCTTTTGAATTTTCTTCATTTCTAGCATTATTATGGAGCTATGAGGATTTTTGATATTTCGAGCTAAAATTAGGAAGAATTGTAATATTATGCAGGAAATACACTTGGGCAGATAGCCTCTCACAAGGCTGGAATATTCAAGGTATAAATCTCCTACATTAGCAACTCCAACTATCATGGATATGATTTCTTTGATATGAGTTATTTATCGCAATATTTCCGTTTTGATTTATACAAATTCACAATTTCTATATTTTCTGAATTGGGTTGATGTCTTCCCTGCCCCTGAAGCCTCATATTCCTGCATTCGTGGTACCTCAACTTTCTGAAGCAATGGATGTTATACATGAGGTGGCTGAAGGATTAGCGGTAAGTCATCTTTCCCAATCATCTTTCCCAATTCCATTGAGTAGAGGTCATAATCTGAACATATGTGTAAACAGATACATACTCTTATAATGTGCACATGATACACAAGTATGTGCGCTTGTGTATATATTGTTCCTCAGATCATTGTGATTCACCATGTTCCTCTGATCATTGATGACATACCTCCAATAGCCTTTTCTAATGGCCTGTTCGTATGGACAAGCACGCACCCCAATTATAGATTGAGATTATGATTTTTTTTCTTGTCCTTCGGGTTTTTTTTTTGACATAAATTGTATCAATATTATCTACAAATCCAGTATCTACATTTGACACTACAGCTTTCAGATCTCGTTAACATGTATAAGAGTGTTTTAATACATTGAAATAAATAAACACTGACCTCATGAATGCAGTTCTTAATGGATATAACTGTTCTCGTTATCCCAAATTTGAGATGAAATGCAAATTGGGTAATGTTTGTTAAATGAAGACATGTTACACTGCGCGCATGAAGTATGTTCCTTCAAGAAGCCTGTACTAGGTTGAAAGTTGTTTGTCATCCTTAAGTGTTCAGCTAGGCCTGATCAATGCCACTATTCTGCTAGGTTTTTTCCTAGGTCAATAACTAAAGGTTCATTAGGTGCACATGCTCACGCCGAGAAGAAATTATGGATTGTCTGCTGGAATGCCTTTTGACCCGTCTTTACCAATTGCAGGTTCCATTGGGAGTAGTGCCACCACTTGACTGTGAAAAGATGGATGGTTTTAAGCTTAGCTTGTCTGGTGACCACCAGTCCATTAACGCCGGTCTTGCCGTTGCTCTTTCTAAATGTTGGCTTCAAAGAACCGGGAATTGGGAAAAACTCATCAGAAAACAGGAAATCCTGGAAGGTGATTTACCAGAGCCATTTCATAGAGGTCTTTCAACAGCGCATCTTTCTGGGAGAGCTCAGATTGTTTATGATACTTCTTTGAAGTCCTACAACTCATCAAAAGAGCCTGAAAGTTCTTGTGGAGATCTAATTTTCTACTTGGATGGAGCTCACAGTCCTGAGAGCATGGAGGTTTGTGGCAGATGGTTCTCTACTGCCGTCAAAGGAAACCAGAAAACATTGTCTCGTTTGAGGGTTGAAAACGCAGAGCAGGTTTTGGGGAATGGTCACATCCAATATGGATCAGGGAAAATGGAGGAGCCTTATGAAACATCAAAGCAGGTAAAACCAATACAGATTGCAATTTACTTTAAGCGGTAGATGTCTTGATGTGTTCCCGGACAGCTTTTTGTGACCTGTGTCTCAGTTAATGGCTTATTTAACCTACTCATGGATTCCTGTTTACAGTTAGATTATGTTTGATCTAATAATTCGGTTCTTATGCATAATTCTCATGCCTTATAGATTCTTTTATTCAATTGCATGGAGGTTAGAGACCCTCAAGCACTGCTTCCGCAGCTTGTAAATACATGTGTTTCCTCAGGTATTGCAGATTCAAACACAATTAGTTAGTCGATTCAATTCTACCTTTTTGTTTCTTCCAAAAGTTCTGAGGTATGGGTGTCAACTGGTGTCTTTTCCTTTATAAGGGGAATGTTGTGTGAACTTGTCGGCAGAGTTGGGGATGGGGCAAAAGAAAGAGGCAATTGCCGGCCTCCTTTCTAGACCTTACATATGATATCAGTATCCTAAAGTACTACGATAATTTAAACATTTAAAGAACGTACTTCTGTTAACTTTAAATATCCAATTAAACAGAGTCAAGATCAGAGGTGGTCCCTTGAAATTCTGAGAATAACGTCATGTAAACAAAGTTTCATTTTTGTTCATCTTATTGCTTATTCATTTTTATGCCTTTTTTTTCAAGGATAATGATCTATGGTAGATCTGACACCAATGCCTTAACGATGTGTTGCAATTTTTTGCTCAGGTATTCATCTCTCAAAGGCCCTTTTCGTTCCAAGTATGTCAAGTTATAGCAAAGTTACTTCTGCTGCCTCGGTCATTCCTGAAAACTTTAGCCGGGACCTGTCTTGGCAATTTAACCTCCAGAGACTTTGGGAGAAGATGATTCATGGGAAGGGTATATACTTTGACTTCCTTTATATTGCATGTTATTCGAATATTACACACCAGATAATAATGAAAGCGTTTATGTATATATTTTACGTGTATATTTTGGTTTACTTTCACTATGTTAGATACATCCAGCACCAATACAATGTTTTTCTGCTCGGATGCAGAAGTCGACATTGTTATGGATGCAGAACTAGAGATTGATGCTGCAAAAGTTTTACCTTCTGAGTTTCTTTATGAGGATGCTTCTCATTGCAGTCCGGTAGATAATCGTTTTTCCTGCAGTGCTGTAATCCCTTCACTACCATTGGCAATAAGTTGGCTCCGGGATTGTGTAAAACGTAACCCTTCTGTTAGAATCCAGGTAAATTACTGGCTGAAACTTATACTTTCATTGAACGCGTGAAGCTTTACTATTTGCTTCGTATAGATAAACAAGCAGACCGTGGAATTAATATTGGAATTTAAAAGGATCTAAATAGGGATTCATGCATCTTAGTGAACTTATTCATGTGGGTCAAATGTCGTTCTTTCAGTAACTAGATGAAGCCTTTTTCTTTTCGGCTTGAATTCCTATAAGAAAGAGGCTATATCATTGTATAAAAATAAGGTGTCATGTATGACCGATATAGATATAAGATTAAATCGTACAAGCCTACTTAGATGAAGCAGCAAGGTGTATAAAGGGAGTGACGACCCTTCTTGGAGATAACTCCAAAAGCCAAACCTATCCCAACCTAGACCATTAATGACTAGTTTGAACATCAGGAGCGGTCTGATCAAATAAGGGATCAGACCGCTCTTAGAAACATGAAACAAAAGCAATCTCTCATAGTTCAGTCACATACAGTCCCACATAAGTTCTCCATATGTAGCGTTGTCCTTCAGAATTATTTGGTAAGTTTTGAATAGGCTGCTAGACAGATATACTGAATGATGTGCATTGTGATATTATACGCAATGGCCATTGTTCGATTACTGAAACCCGTGAAAACAGAGCCATAAAATTATGTTCTTGTAAGGGTTCTTGTAAGGGGGAATAGTCTGGATGATGGTAGAAATGAATACATGTTGAATGCTTATTGTGGATGTTCAGGTTCTTGTAACGGGATCGCTGCATTTGGTCGGAGATGTACTAAAGCTGTTGAAGAGATGATTCCAATATTTTTCAACCAAAACATTCTTAACATTCTTAAACTCCCCCAACATTCTTAAACTACGTTTCCGTTTTGTACCAGTAACTGTTTGTATTACCCCTTCGTGTTGTACCATAAAGAAAATTGTTCTGTTCTTTTGGCAATCCCTGCGTGATATAATGTCTTGTTTAACAATGCCGGAATGAACCGTATGTATGCATACTGTCATGATTGAATTAAAGAAACATTAATTTTTTTTCCTTTGTTAAGGGATAAAAAGTTGAGTAGTTTGAAGCCAGACTTTTATTTTATTTTTTTTAGTCAAACAACAGATTTTGTTAGATTAGATGTTAAGATAGCCACCGACGAAATTCAAATCCACACCGTCGTACAAGAACTCGATTACTTTTTCATACTGTAATAAAGGACCGCTTGCGTCAACTGAAGCTGGAAAATGAGTTTCAAAGTCAAGTTGTAAAAAAGTTGGTGTGCACGTTTAAGTTTTGGAATAATTCTTGAGTAGGATTCGTAGCCAGCCACCATTAAAACAGTTTCGATCCAGTCCCAGTGTAGCGAACGAGAACCCTCTCTGGATCCTCTTTAAAGAATTCTCGAAATTCTTACAAAGATGATCCGGAGATGGATCCTCATTCCAGCGTAGCCACCATTTTTAAGAGTAGCCGCCTTTTCTCTTTAATGCCGGTTTTCTCTCTAATGTCGGTTTTTGTAGAGCAGTAGGTGGGGACGATAAGGTACAATTTACAAACACATGGATCAATTTCAACGGCGAGGATTGCTACCCTGATATGTAATTTGCTTAAGCCAATACAAAGAGCTCATAAATGGTAGCAGCTACAGCTAGGCGTACCAAATTTGGTACTCTCACCCTCCTTTCATTCTCTCTCATGTTCCCACCTCAACAAATACAAGCATGGTCGTATTTAGGCCATCTCCAACCGAGGGCTGGTCAGAGGGCTCGTTTGAGCCCTCTAGCCATCCAAGATTCCCCAAGATATTAATATTTTAATGAACAGTACAGGGCCATATTTGCCTCCGTCTCCAACCGAGGGCCAGAGGGCCAAATGGCTCGTTTTAGCCCTGTCACAAAAAACCGTCTCCAACCGAGGGCCAAAGGGCCATAGGACCAAACATAATTTATTATTTAAATTTAAAAACTACAACAACTTAAATTTAAAAACAACAACTTATATTTAAACACTACAAATTAAATTTAAAAACAACATTAACTTAAATTTAAAAATTACAACGACTTAAATTTAATATCCATAATCAATATCATCTTCATCATCCGCCATTGTAGGAGTATAGTCAGAAGTAAACAATTGCCGCCGAGCCATAATTTCTTTTTTTTTCCTATCAAAATAGGCCTTACTCATTGGAGTGTAATCCGAAGTGTTCCTTTCCATATTCTTATCATCCATCTCTTCTTGTATTTGTTTGGCTCGCTCTTCATGTCTACACTTCCTTTCTTCCGCCTCACGGGCATTTTGCTCCGCCAGTAATCGAAATGAGGCCGCCACTTCATGTTGAGCGGCGTAATCAGCATTTGCCTTGCCCTTTTCCCTCAACCTTCGGGCCTTGTTTCGTCCCATAGCCCTAGGTAAAGAAATTTCGGACGGAGTCGGATTTTCTACCCTTGTTTGTTGAATGGTAGGAGATCCATCTTCATTCATATCTACAGATGGGGATGCAGCTTCCAAATGATCCACTCTATGTTGAGGTGGATCTTCAAATAACATCCACCCTTTACAATTTCCCAACAACCGTGAAACTGAAAGGGTTTTGAGCTGCCCTCCATATACAATTCCTCCGCTTGGCGTACCTAGAAAATATAATTAAAAAAATTTTAGGAAATTAATTCACGAAATTAATGTAATATAATTAAACATTTAAACATTTAAAATAAACTGTAAAAACACTAACTTCGTCATAGTAATTGGCGCCGCTTTCATGTCTACGTGCTGCTGCTAATAGTGCTTGATGCCATTTATTCAAACTTGGATGAAGATGTTTCTTCCATCTTGAAGAACAACTTTCGTGGTTTCGGGTATTCGGTGGAATGGTGCCTTCGTAGAACTCTAAGTATTTTTTGGACACACGAGTCCAAACACCTTCACTTGTTTGAGAAATCCCCCTCACACTATCTTCTGAGATCCATCTATAAGCCTTGCAAAGAGCTTCATCTTCTTTTCGGGTCCAAGCCCTACCTTTCATTGCAGATGAGGCCATTTTTTTTGAAAAAAAATGAAGGAAATATTGAAGGAAATATTGCAAATGTTATAGAAGAAAATATTATAGATGAAGGAAATATTGGAAAATTTATTGAAGGAAATATTGAGAAATATATTGAAGGAAATATTGAAAAATATTGAAGAAGGAAATATTGCAAATGAAGTGAAGAATTGAAAGAACTTCACTATATTTATAGAAGAAAAAAATGTTTAAAATAAATTAAAAAAAAAAAAAAAACCAACGGCTAGTAATGTTTAAAAAAAAAAAAAAAAAAAACCAACAGCTAGCTGACTCAGCTAGCCGTTATATTAAAAAACATTTCAAACTATTAGTGTCGGTTATAACCGACACTAATAGCAGAACTATTAAAAAAAAAGGTCTTTAATGCTGTCGGTTTTAACCGACAGCAATAGGAAATCATTAAAAAAAAATAGCCAGCCCGGGGCTGGCTGGCTGGCCGAAAGCAGCCAGCACTCCAGCCCTCTCCGATCTCGTGGGGCCCTCCCAGATTCCAGAGCCCTCTGGCCTAGCCCTCGGTTGGAGACGGTTTTAGGGCTATTTTCGGCCCTCTGGCCCTCTGGACCCTTCGGTTGGAGATGGCCTTATGTTTCGGTTTGCAAGATCCTTCTACTTTGTAGTTAAGGACTAATCTAAGAGTCTTGATTCTTTCTAACTGCTTTGTGCGAGTTGAAAAATTAAGGTTACTATTGTAATTCGATGACCAAAATTTTAGTTAGTTCATTTGTCTTAATTCATTATCATCCTTTCATTTAAAAATAAATAAATTGCAAGAACGTCGGTTGTTGTGTTTGCTTTCTTACAAGTATGTTGAGATTGGAGATTATGAATTTTGTTTCGATGAACACCAAACATTTTTCGATAAATAGATTGGAGATTACGAATTTTGGTTTGCAAATTTGGTTTTAAATTTTGGTTTCCCTAACATTATCCATTTGGATTAGCTTTTTATCCTAAATAATCATTGAGATTGACATAACTTCTCACTTTGATCACTAAGATTTGAAATCGATATCAGTGGTCCCTGAAATTGTCCATTATCAATCATTTTGATCATTTTGTGAAAAATCTTCATTAAATAAAGATACAATGACAAAAATATCCTCAATTTTTATCAAATTAATTTAACCCATTATTTATTAAATAAAAATCCGGGGTAAAGTAGGAGTAGCCGAAATTGAAGGAAAGATGAGAGAAAATCGGTTACGGTGGTTTGGACATGTGCAAAGAAGGCCTACTGACGCTCCGATTAGAAGATGCGACTATGGGACAGAGGTTCAGGGCCGAAGGGGTAGAGGAAGACCTAGGAAAACTTTGGAAGAGACCCTAAGAAAAGACTTAGAGTACTTGGATCTAACGGAGGACATGACACAGGACAGAACACAATGGCGTTCTAAGATTCATATAGCCGATCCCACTCAGTGACTTGGATTTTCCAAGTCTCCAACCGAGAAGTTTTCCTCACTCGGGAAATTAAGGGAACACTACCTCAACCTACATGCTCCACTCACAAAGCTTCAACATACAAGCTTTAACAAAAGAAAATTCAAAGAACTTAGCGAAGAAGGCTTTGGTGTATTTAACACAATACGTTGAAATGAAGGAAAGCTTATTTATTGATATCCCCGATAAGTTACAAATATGTACATATACTTGAGTCAAAATAAACAAACAAGAGGGAGCCTTCACAAAGGTTGCTTAGGAGAAGTCTCAGCAGTCGATAGAGCCCCAGAAAGAAAAGGCACCAGAGGGGGATCATTCGGAGCCTCAGTACTGGACAGAACCCTAGAAGGAGGAGGCATCAAAGGTTGATCATTTGGAGCTTCATTACGCGGTACAGCCCCAGAAGACGAAGGCAATAAATGCCTTTGGAACAAACCCACAAATCTCTGATGATCAAGTAAAACCTAACCATCAGATTCCTTCATCTGGTCAAGCTTCCTCTTCATGTTTGTAGCATAGTCATGTGCGAGCCGGTGCAACTGTTTATTCTCATGCTTGAGCCCTCTAATCTCCTGTTTGAGACTCATCACTTCAGCCGCCAATGATTCAACTTGGCGGGTTCGAGCAAATAGGCGTTGGGCCATATTAGACACAGAACCTGCACACTGAACACTAAGAGCCAGAGAATCCTTAACAGCCAACTCATCAGACCGTTTGGAAAGTAGTCTGTTATCTTTGGGAGTGAGAAAGTTCTTGGCCACTACCGCAGCGGTCATATCATTCTTCATCACGGAATCCCCAACGGTAAGAGGACCAGTAGGGGAGACGAAGGATGGGCGCCATATGTTGTCTGGAGAAGGCGGGGCTGCCTCTTCAACAAGGTTCAAGTCAAAACGACGGTCGGAGGGGCCAAACATTTTCAAAGGTGTTGAAGAGAGAAGAGGTCGGACAAATCAAGATCTTAGAAGTGCAAGAATTGAGCTTCTACTGGTGGATATTCAAGTGTGCTTTGGAACTTAATGTCTGCCCCTATAAAAATCTGCACTCGATGAAGCTTCAGAAATCGAAGAGGTGCCTGCTCAGAAATCGAAGAGGCGTTTGCTTTCTCAAAAGCTGGGCTGCTCAGAGACCACGAGGGTCGATCTCAGAAATCGAAGAGGCGTTTGATTTCTCAAAAGCTGGGCTGCTCAAAGACCACGAATGCCGATCTCAGAAATCGAAAAGGCTTGCTTTCTCAAAAGCTGGGCTGCTCAGAGACCACGAGGGCCGATCTCAGAAATCGAAGAGGCACCTACTTTTCCAGCCCTGTCAGCACCTGTCACACGCACACTCAGCTTTGCGGAAATTATGGGCATTCTGTCGAAGATTTCTGGCGAAGTAGAAAGCACATGAATCGTACTGTTCAATCACCCACTTCCCACACGCAACAGTAGCTCATGGGTACCACATATAACTTTGCCAAAGTTCTCTGACAAAGTTGAGACACGTGAAGCTTGCAGCTCCCACTACATCGCTCTGACCAAGAAGGGTAAAAGATTAGCAAAG